TCTGTGATTTTGAGTATCTACATTTGTTTCTGTGTATGAAAATAATAATGTGCATCATTTTGAGTGACGCACCATTTCTCAAACATCATCTTTATATTTGAGTCTGTGACTCCAGACAACGTGACCTTAAAGGCCCGTTCACACCAAGCACGATAACTATAAAGATAACGATAAAGATATAGTTCTAAAAATCGTTCTCAATATTAAAGAATAGCATAGTTCACACCACAACTATAACGATAATGATACAGAGGAACGATATCGTTGTGATCACTTTCAAAACGATTTTTTTCCAGCTGATGAACGATAAAACACTGACAGCCAATCAGAATCCATCCTGCTGTAACGAGCTCGAGAATTTAAAGCGGCAGACGCATGTGCGCTTAGAATAAACAGACGATATCGTTCGCTGGTGTGGACGGTAATATCTTTATCTTTATAGTTATCGTTCTTGGTGTGAACGGGGCTTAACTCTTTATAAAGTGTCTGATGTTAATGTTGTCAAGTTGTTTGCTTTCTTATTGTATTTAGTGACAATTTAAACTTTATTTCTGTATGTTGCTGGATTTTAAGCTTTTGAAAATAAATAAACATGCACACATCTGCAGGCTGTGATCTTCCAACGTTTTTCTCTTCAAGCTTGAGAGTAGAATACTCAGCCTATATGTAGGATAATCAGTCTTAAACGTTACATGTAAAGGCAGTTTGTGTTCCTTATTAAAAGCCACTTCAATTTGGGCTCCTTTCCTGTCTGTTTTCTTATTTTCCATAAAATGCTTTACTAACATTAAAATGTCAGGCGTTTTTCTTTTGCACTCACGATGCTAATGTAAGTTTCATCCTCCTTTGTTTTTTTTTTACATTTTCAATTCTGATTATTACCAACTCTTCTCAGCTAAGCACGTTAAAAGACGGTTTCTGTGTGTGTTTTTTTTGTTTTCAGATTACATTCGGATCAGAGATTCCCAAGACCTACTATGTTCGAGACTCCATTAAAGTGGACTATGATCAGTTTGTGACTATTGGCCGTGGCTCATCTCATCAGGTGGAATATGAGCTACTTGCACCAAACTGTGCGCTAAGGTGAGCAATCTGAGGAAACACAAAAACGTTTTTTTTCTAATACTAATACAACACAAAAACACTTTCTGAAACTGGTAATAGACATGGGAGTTTGCCATGAAGCAGTCAGTGATCATGACATCAAAGGTGCAGTAAACAGATTCTTTTTGGAAAACCATGCATAAAACTTTAGCTACCAAAACCTTATATGCCAAACTAGCTAACCAGCAACACTCTGCATGGGACGTGCATTTGGGTTTACTAACATTGGGTTGGAAAGGCCTGGGTTTGGATATGATTTTGTGGTCTTAATTTGATTACATTGACGAAACATTAAAAACACTTTCAGCAACATTTTATTAAAGGGGACATGAACTGAGAAACCAAAATTCCCTTGATCTTTTGACATATAAAAGTTCATTGTACTATAAAAACATCTTGTAAGTTTCAGAACTCAAAACTTTGTCATTAGTCTAAAAACAGCTTATATTGAAGGCAGTCTGCCAAAGCGACAGCTTTTGGAACATTCTACTCTATGATGTAATAGTGTGGATAAGCACCGCCTCCGCAGAAGATCAACACCTGCTTCTACATCACTGCTTATTTAGCCCCGCCCACCGATTCGCACATGTAGTGTTTATGAGAGAGTTGTTGATATTCGTTTTTGACCTAAATCACAGCTGCGTCCATCTATGAGGAATGTACGCTGTCAAACATACACAACTATTAGCCAATCGTAGCAGTGGGCGGAGTCCACAATCCGCCACGCCTATTCAAACAGAGCGTTCTGATGAGGGGGCTTACAGGACAGGACATAAAATAGCCTATTACTTATAAATTATTATGTTTTTTTAATGTAAAAATCTTGATAACATTATAAGTGGACCTCAGAGAGCAGTACAATATAAAAAACAAAGGCGGTTCATGACCCCTTTAATTAAATATTAACCTTTTGACCTATTGAATAATATTAAAATGTTATAAATTATTAATTATTGGGGTTTATTCATCATATTCAGTATATGAGAATAGACATCTGGTATTAGCTGGAGAGCTTCACATCGCAGGAACTCAGTCTATGTGTGATGCTCTACTCTCTTCTTCAGATGGCAGTTCACCTGTGATGGTGCTGACATAGGTTTCGGTGTCTATAAGAAGACGAAGATGGGAGAGTGGATGAAGGCCAGTGAAATGAAGGAAACTGTGCCAAATCAGCGTTACAACGCACACCTGGTACCCGAGGACGGATCCCTCACCTGCCCAGAACCAGGAGTGTGTAAGTACAGACTTAACAGGCTTTATTTTATATCACCAATTGAGATGAACATTAAACGTGCATGTGGATTTACTGAATTTTGTTTTATTCAGACGTACTGCGATTTGACAACACATACAGCATCATCCAGTCCAAAACGGTCAGCTTCACAGTGGAGGTTCTCTTACCTAGTCAAGTCAACCAATCAGAACGTTAGAAATGCTGGCAACTAGCAAGCAGACAATAAATTGAGATTATGAAACGGTTTGGAAACTCTTGCTCTGAAGCATAACAAACTCATGACATCTTATACAGTATATCTGCTGTACTATAAAAGGAAAATATTATAATAATGCTGCTCTCGACAAGGAGAGTATGTACATTAATTGAACTGACTAATCACTGCATTAAAATGGTGGGATGAAATGTACTCTTCAGTGATAGATGTGTAATGACAGACTGTTTCGTCCACCGATATATCTGGATCCTGACTTCGATGCCAGTGTGATTCTTTACATTTGTTTCTCTAAGATGAAGCTGTTATCAAGTTGATTTATCATATATTAATGAAGTGTTGAGCTTATCAGTGAGCTGTGGTTTATCAAGTGTAACAACTGTGTTGCAAATTACTAGACTGAAACTGTCTTGGTATGTATTATTTGAGCTTGCCCTTTTGTGCCCTCTTTATGATTCATGTTCTTTATCTGTTTAGTTCCTTTTGATCATGAATTCATTTAGATAATGAACTCCGATTAGTCTGCACAGTTTTCTCTCAGAATGTGGTTTGAGGTTAAATTATTACCTACTTTTATGTTGTTGACGCACACAAATCTGTGAACCTTTTGAAATATTTTGTTTACAAAGAGCATTTGACTTGATACGGAGTATGATGTCAACATGTCATGGGTAGTTTGCGGTTTTTTTAATCCTTTTTTATTTATTTAACTAATTGATGTAAACTTTTCATAGTAAGATTTTATACCTCAGGTCCTTGTGTTTACAGTAACAGTACCTGTATTTGATTCCAGCAACATGCATCTGTTCTGTAAGTGACCACATTGCATTTTGTCTGATTTGTCTCTATTGATTCTGTAATATTAATGTAATTTATAAGTGATATTGTATTGATTTTGATTAATTAACTAATTAAATGTATACATTTCAATAGCAAAAGCAATCTCAGTTTTCATGTCTTTCTGACGTATATTTATGCATACTTTTAAACGAGTGTCTAACATTCAGTTCCCATGCACAGACTAAATCTACTCTTAAAAAAAAAAAATTATCAATGTGTGATGTACAGTAGTTGTATTAATGGATGGTTGATGCCTGTCTGATGGCTCCATCTGTTGGTGAAGCATGTAAAATCTTTATAATGAGGTCCGTTACATCTTTGACCATTAGAAGAAGGTGCCATTAAAATGGAAATCTGTCTTATAATACAAGCACATTCACGCACATAGACACTCAATTTAAATTGTAATAATATTTCACAATATTAGTGTGAATAGTTATTAGTTTGTACATTAATTTTTGATAAAAATAAATAAATAAATACAGCCTCGGTGAGCATACCAGACTACTACTTCTTTTCTCCGTTTAAGTTTGGAAGTCTTTGTGGTGCTTAAACCGTAATCTATTATATTAATTTAAAAATAATAAGAAAATAACAAAGGCTCTTAAGCCCCTTTTCAAAAATACAATAAAAACATTACTATTGTGAACTTCACAAGTTATGTAAAAAGCCACATTGGTCTAATCTGAATATGAAAAGTAAGATTGTTTACTACTTTTACTGCTAAAAGTGCTAAAACTATAGTTGGTCAAATTGGTTCTTGGTCTTAACACTTGTCAATGTTTATGCAACTGGCACCTGTGCTGAATTTTCAGTCTAATCTAATTAGTTCTGTCAAACGATTAATCGTGATTAATCACATCCAAAATAAAAGTTTTTGTTTACATATGTGTGAGTAGCCTACTGTGTGTATATATATATATAAATACATGTAAATATTTTGTATTTATACATAATAAATATACATAGTACACACACACATATATGAAGTAAAGAAAAACTTGTATTTTGGATGCGATTAATCACGATTAATCGTTTAACAGCACTAAATCTAATCTATGCTAATTTGGTGTTCAATAAATATTTCTTGTTATTAGGCTATATCAATGTTAAAAAGAACGTTGTACTGCTTAATATTTTGTGGAAACTGAAGATACATTTTTTAAAGAATTCTCTGATCAATTGAAAGTTCAAACGAACAGCATTTATTAGACATTTTTGTAACGTTATAAATGTCTTTACTGTCACATCATCTTAGATAGTATTGTACAGATACAACCATAGACTACCCCCCCCCGGTTTCACAGACAAGGCTTAAGCCTAGTCCCAGACTAAAATGTAAGTCTGAGCTGTGCCAACTGACTGATCTTAAAATATATCAGTGCCTTTGTTTTGGCTCAAGATGCAGACCAGTAATGTGTTTTCTAAGGCACGTTTATGAAAAATTACTTCAATGTCCTAATTGAACTATGGCCTAATCCTGGTTTAGTCTAAACCCTGTCTGTGAAACCAGGCCCTTATTTCTATGGATACAACAAGCTATCACAAGTTTTGATCAGGCATTTAAAACAGCTACCGCCTGGGTCCTAAAGGAGAACCGATCGCGGGTGGAGACTCGATTTCTCGCGACGGCAGCAGCAGCTTCATTCTCAGGTCGGGAAACTGACAACAAGCGAACAGAGAAAAACAGAGACAAATCTACATCCATCCTTCCGAGTTTCTCTATCCGGTGGAAATATATCGATATATGTGAGCTGAAGCGACAGTCGTACGTTCAATCGGTGAGTTATTAGCGCGCTTTGTGCGGTTATTCGCCGGTTTGTCGCAGGATGTCTCAGTGTTTGTGTCGCTTTGTTCTGAGCAGCAGCCATTTTTAATCGGCTCACACATCAACAAGTCACCAGAAACCCCTCATTAACACATTGATTACTCATTTTACCAGCCGATGTTAATTAAACACCCGCGCTGCCGCGCTTTCTGTCCCGGTTTGAAGCTCGTTTGTCGGATCTGGTGGAGTTTATACAACAGAAGCGGCTCGAGGCTAATGTCAATAGCATTGCTAAATACCTCATGAAGTCTCAGTGAAAATCGCTCACGTTATATTAAATGTCGTTATTTATCAGCTCTCACGCTCGTGTTTACAACATCTAGTGTGTGATCGTGTTGATTTCGTGTGTGTGAAATGAGCGGCTTGTTTAATAATCAGGCTGAAGAGCCTCTGTTTACATCTCATGCTAACTGTACATTCACAGTTATCGTTGACAGATGTGTTAGTTTCGTTTAGCCTGGCATCAAAATGTTTCGTATTACATCACATTGATTTCATAATGATCGCTTGTAAGTGCTCACTGTCAGTATTTCACGGGTTTTCTCGTAAAGTCTCACTGATGTGTATTTCTCATGAGAGCAGATTTTATATCTCTGTCATGATGAATCTGAGTTTGGCGATGATGATGATTATGGTGGTGGTCTTTTATAAGTGTGTGAGCAGTGCATCAGCCATTTTTGCAATTATACAAGCAAGAACTGAGTAATATTAACAACATGCACGTACTGTAGGGTTAGGATTTGGTTCAGTTTTAGATGCTTGTAATTATGCATCAGTTTTTGTTATCAGTATATTAAAGATGTGTAACATGAAACAGACACTGTAAAGTAAAGTGTTACCTTTTTATTAAAGGAGTAGTTGGCCCAAAAATGAAAATCTGCAAAAAATGTCCTCACCCTCAGGCCGTCCAAGATGAAGTTTGTTTCTTCGTAGGAAGAGATTGAGACATTTAGCACTTGCTCAGTAATGGATCCTCTGCAGTGAACGGGTGCCGTCAGAGTGAGAGTCCAAACAGCTGAAAAAAACATCACTGTAATACACAAGTAATCCACTCCAGTCCAGTCCAGTCCATCAGTTAATCATCTTGTGAAGCCAAAAGCTGTGTGTTTGTAAGAAACAAATCCATCATGAAGGCGTTTTTAACTTCAAACCGTTGCTTCCGGCTAAAATATGAGTCTCCAGTCAAAAAGTGGTCTGAATCAGGAGAAAAATCTGCACAGATCAAACAGGCCAAAACAGCTCTAAACAAATATGTGGGGGGATTTTGACATGAGAGACAACAGGGGATGGACTTTTTCATTGGAGGAAGCATTATTATGGATCATGTTATGGATATGGATCATTTTAGCCAGAAGCAATGGTTTGAAGTTAAAAACGCCTTGATGGATTTGTTTCTTATAAACATGCAGCTTTTGGCTTCTCAAGACGTTAATTGATGGACTGGAGTGGTGTGGATTATCGTGATGTTTTTATCAACTCATCAGACTCATTCTGACGGATTTTTTTTAAAGGGGTCCTATTATGCTCTTTTACAAAGTCTTGATTATGTTTTGGGGGTGTACTAGAACATGCTCTCATGCTTGGTGGTTCGAAAAACGCATTATTTTTCACATAATTTACATTATTAAAATACCTTTCTCCCCATCCTGGCACAAACGGCTCGATTAGTTCCGGCTTTGATGAAGGTCCTCATCGTCTCGTCTGATGCATACTTGTAAGAATTGTTCTAGACATGCCGAAAGTTTGAGGCTACATCACAGCAGCTCTTCTTCTTCGTTTTCTCTGATGCACTTAACTCTGCAGCAGCACTTCTTCTTCATCGTCTCGTCTGATGCACTCACTCAACCAAGCGTTCTAACCACAACCTCGTTTTATGCCCAAACATACACACTACACACTGACTAAAATTAAAAAAGTGAAAAAGCATAATAGGACCCCTTTAAGCATATATAAATTTTTGGGTGAACTATTCCTTTAAAATCATTTTGTGTGTGTGTGTCCCCTCATAGCATCGTCATTGTCTGTTAGTCATCCAAAATAATTGACAATGAACTTCTGTTTGTCGTCTTCTGTCATCTCTTTTCTTTTTGGGGTGACTAACTAACAAATATTTTCTCTGGAACACTTTGAGAGTGATTATACATGAGTCTGTTATTGTCTTTTCTCATAAATATTTACTTAAAATGTTACGTTTACTGTATATTTACTTTTTAAATTGAAGATGTGCACTTTTAGTTAATGCCAAAAATGTAAATGATTTACTTGCCCTTATGTAATTTTAGTGTTTTGGTTTTCTTTCTTCTGTGGAACACAAAGGTAGATGTTACGTAGATGTTCATGCTGCTCTTTTACTCACAGTGTAAGCATTTTATTGCAATTACAGAAACGGCATACTTCAAGATGTCTTGTTGAACATGAATATTTCCCTTCTGCAGAGCTCATGCATGTCATTTTAGGTCACTGTCGCTGGTAGCGAGTCGTAGTGTTGAGTGCCGCTGTCTCATGTTCTCACTGAGACAGCGGGACACTTCTGTTGTGTCATGTGAATGTTGATTTCAGCTTCATCTCCATTCCAAGACTGTCTGAATGATCCCCATGTGGCTTTTTTTTTGTTGTTGTTAATTGAGGTTGATCGGAGTCATTATTCTGTCCAAGATTGTGTTTAGTTGTTGACCAGCTTTGAAATGTGTCTGAGCCGCATCCTCTTGTGTCCGGATGGAAAGATGACGTTTCTGTGGCATAGAAATGATTATTCATCACAGTTCAGAGGATGTGTTGGAGAGACTTTGGTTCTTCTGCTAACAGTTGTGTCATTGTGTGTGTTTCTCCACAGAAACAGACGGTACTGAGGAAGAGGTGCAAAGAAAAATTTCCATACTCGATGACATTACATCGCAATGTCCGATCGTTTGGGGCAAATAACCAAGTCCAAGGATGGGAAAAGCAAGTATTCATCACTCAGCCTATTTGACAAGTACAAAGGGAAGTCAATAGAAACTCAGAAAACCACAGGTGAGACTCAAGCACTCCATATTCACATCCATATTCAAGTGTTTGTGGAATTGATGCAGACAGACTGCTATGTAAATCTGAAGTTAGTTTGTTGTGTGTGTCTCAATGTTTGCTCTGCTTCACACTGAAGCATGCATGACGCTTATCTGTTTCTCACTATATGAACACGTGAAATTCATCTGACAATCACTTCACCAGCATTTCACCACTTCATTTAAGAAAACTGTCGGCAGATACACATACTCAAAGATCTTACAACCCACTGAAATAAAAGTTCAGAAATATACTACTATTGCACAGTAGAATGTACTTCTCAAAGTAATAATATTGATACATCTCATTTAAAAATTATTTCTATTTAGGAATATCACAATTTTGTATCCATGATTAATTTAAACAGGAAACATTTTGTGCAGCACTGCTTGCCAAAAATGGAAGGAATTGTAAATTTAATTTGATTTTTAAAATGTAAAAAAAATTAAAGTTTTATGCATTCATTTGATTACCCCTGGTTTTGATGATAACGTTGTATTAAATCATAAAACCGAAATGTTTCTGTGACAACACACAATTTCTGAAAATGTAAAACATTTCTTAGGGCACTGCTTTTGTTAAATTAATACATAATCATATTGTTAAAGTTTGAAGTTTGTTTGATTTAGTTCTTTTTTTATTTTTTTATTTAATTAAACCGTTGAAATGAAATCCATAAAAATTTAAACTAAAAGCATGTAATCTGATTTCATAGAGCCGTGCTTTAAGTCTCAGATCGCTTTTGCATGTTCAGATGTGTCACACCGTGTGTAGTAACACCAGAGCAGCAGCAGATCTCGTATATGTGTGTTAACCATAATGTGCCAGTTTTTGTGACGTATGTGATGTTTTAACCGATTTCATACCTCTCTCTCTCTCTCTGTCACCTGCAGTTGTTGCACGACATGGCTTACAGAGTCTTGGCAAAGTGGCCGCTGCCCGGCGCATGCCCCCTCCCGCTCACCTGCCGAGTCTGAAGTCTGAGAGTAAAGGAAACGATCCCAACGTGATTATCGTGCCCAAAGACGGTACAGGATGGGCAAACAAGCAGGATCAACCCGATCCAAAGAGGTCAGAGAAAACGCTGCTGCAGCATCAGCACTGCTGTCCATCACGCTCACTAAAACATCACTGTGTGTGAAGTGAATTGAAGGACAGATCGTGAGCCGTAGAGTGTTTTTTGTGTCTGTGTGTGTCATTGTACAGCAGGTGCGTCTGTAAGTCGCACTGATTGTGTCGTGCAGAGCAGCTTATATTAAGAAAGGCATGTGTGCAGAAAGAAAAAGAGATGCTCATCAAAGTGTTGGTCGCGTGTGAATGTTTGTAGTTAATGAGGACGTTACAGTCACTCTGTGTTGCTGTGAGTTTGTCTCATCCAGACTAAAGCAACTCAATTAAAATGTGTTGTAAACGCTGTAGTCCCGCTAAAATTGTACCAGCAGTAATTTTTAAATGTTCAATTACACATCATGCTGCATACATGCAAAAACTTGATGCAGGGCTCAATAGTCTGTTTCACTCACATTTGTGGCTAAAAATAGAGGTTTGCGAATAAAGAAAAGTCCTAATGGGTCAAAATTCAGTTTGTAATGTAATGTAAATTATGGCCATAAAGTCTTAAAAATCTCAAGTGGTATACAGGGCTTAAAGTTCTCCGGCACCATGCCAGATCTCCGGCGTGCAGCGCTTGGCTGCGGAAAAAAATAGTCCTACATTTAAAAAAAATAAATAAAAATTCTTGTTGATTGATATCACTTTCGAGTCCATGAGTTCGCCTACCAATGGTATGAGAGGAGCACAGCTTTCACTCAACCAAACTAACATTACTAGCCAATCAGAATGTTTTGCTCTTATAAACACGAGACGCGCATAATAGTATCCAATTGCGGAGTCGCAGCCCTGATGAATGGAGAAGCGCGGCAAAAAGCTGCGAGGCACAATGGGCAAAGATGTCCATCTAGAGCATTTTTACATAGGATAACTAATTAAAAAGCAGCGGAGCTTTGTAAACGGCTCAGAGTAATCATGTCATCTCCATAAAACGATATGATTGCCAGAACAAATTTACCGGGATTTTTTAAAAAGTCCTGTTTACACATGATCTATTAATGGTAACTTACCGGTAATTTACCAGTACTGTATGTGTGAAAGGGGCTAAATTCTTCCACTGCATATGCCGTGAATTTGAATTGCTTAACGTTCATCGGGAAAAACAGTGTGCATTATCTCACTAGATTTGTAATGTAAATCATTTATAAACTTTTGCCAACACAGGAGAATACATCAACCTATGTTTAAATATGCCATGTATTGTACATCGCGATTTCAAAATAAAAGTTTCTGCATGTGGCCAAATATTAAAATTAAATGGATTTAAACATCGTTTAATCACGCTGTAAAGTGAAACGTCACCAGGCCGTTGGCGCCCTCTGCAGGTATTTGTTTTAATACATAATTGTACTTAAGTTGGTTATGTTCATATTATGTATACGCATATTACATTATGTATTTTAACAGTGTTGTTCAATACAATCATGTAATTTCTTGGTTTTGATATTTTATTTGAGCCAATTATTATTGCCTCATCGTTATTTTATATATAAATAGTCATACTAAAGCCTGGTTTTCACAAAAAATATCAGATTAGTCGGTTGTCAAAATAATCAGTAGATTACTTGATTACCAAAATAATCATTAGTTACAGCCCTAGATTAGTTAAAATATTTCTAAATACAACTGCATTGTTTTACTTTTTGTAATTTAAAAGAAAAATATTTTGTCAGGAAAAATTTCTTAAAAATAGTATAAAAATATTGTCTCGATATGAACTAGTGTCTGTGAATATTAAAACACGAAAAGACGGTTTAAATATGAGTCTTGCATGTTCCACTTGCCTCTGTATGTATGAATGGCGGAAACGCGGTTTTGTTTACTACACAAATACTGAAGCACGCGTGACTCTCACGGTGATTCTCGGCCTCTGCGTCTCATTATATGACGGCATGAACACAACTTAATCTCCAGAGCTGCTGTGAGAGTCAGTTTGCGAGAATTTTACCGTTTCATTTGAGAAAACTAGCATCATCATACTGTATACACTCATAAACTTCATGGCAACCTGTCAAAATAAAAGTACGGTTTAACATGTAACAGAAATATATTACTCTTGTATTACTTTTGTACAGTATATTGTACATCTTTAAATATTCCATTTTCTATCAAATTGAAATCAAACAATTAAATGATAAAAATAAATATTACAACCAGATTAATCACTTAATTGTAGAAAAAAATAATTTAAAACAATTATTAGCCTATTAAAACTTTTTTTAAAGGAATATTCACACAATCTTTCTTCCATGTATTAATTTTAAACAGTAAACCTCAGTTTGTTTGCCAAAAAATAAAAGTTTAATTTTCATTAGATTTAAAATAAATGTTTAATGCCTTCAAAAAAAGAATTTCTGGCGAAAATAAACAAAAGAAAGAAAAAGTTTGTAGGGCCCTATTGTTCAAAATGTTGAAATTGAGACTTTTAGACTTCACTGAAATATGTTTTTGTAATTACACAGAGTAAAGTACCAAAAAAAGTTACCATTGGGTACCGGCACAGAAATTCAGATACCAGTACCGTACCGGTTAAAATGTAAACGGTACCCAACCGTAGTTGTGATATAGTGTAATGTGATTAAATTTCAAAGAGCTGATTCATTTAAATGTAAACGCTGCATGTTTTAAAGTAAAAATGTGGCGATGTTGCTTGTTCAGAACATGTTGCAATCAATGAATACCTCAGGGTTCGTACGGGTGCTTGAATTCCTTGAAAATGCTTGAATTTTAATGTAGTGCTTTCAAGGTTTGAAAAATGCTTGGATTTTAAATAAAGTGCTTGAAAGGTGCTTGAAAATGCAGTTGCATTGGTTTCATAATCATTCGCTTTCTTACTGAATAGTTCATAATTTTTTACATAAAATAAGCCTAACAGCTCTGCTCGAGTCTGTGCGTGTGGCTGTAGTGTGATCTTTATTAACGCACGCCTCTGATGGAAGAGCGGGAGATAAAAACATGCCGGGAGGTCGGGATGTAACGGTTACCGGTTTGACGATAAATCATGATAAAATTCCCCACGGTTAGTAATACCGTTTCATCTTTTAATTATCATTAAGTTTGTTAATTTTTAAATATAAAACTTATAAACTTATATGTCGGTACTTTTTTAACATCTCCAGCACATTTTAACAATACCATGATAATACTGATAACCGTGATAATTTTGGTCACTATAATCGTGATAAGAAATTTTCATACCGTTACATCCCTACCGGGAGGTTGCAGCTTCAGTCAGCGATGGCTTGAAAATGACAAATACAAATTATGCCTAAAACGAGAACTAAATACTTGAGTAGCCTCCCGTTAAATCTGTTTTTTTCATAGAAGAGTGCGCTTTCGAGCCATATAAAAGGTAAACAAAAATGCCCCTGCAATGTGAAAATGAATAAGTGTTTATTGCGGCATACGTTTAGATCTGCTCACAATGCATAAGATTTCTTTATGCACGTTTTTTTCCCCCAGCGTTGAGCATTATAACAAATCACACACGTTTGTGTTGAGCACAGATTAGTCACCAGTTAGGAAAAATCTGCAAAATGCTACAGTTGTGCTCAGTTCATGTGCTCACTGAATGCATTCTGCACTCTCTCGAATACTGTCATCATAAACAACAGTGCAGAAACGATGTAAACAAGAAATTAATTTTGCGGTTTGGACAGCGAGATTCAGTGAGCTCATGCTAGACTGAAATCATCCATTTCTGTGATGGGTCCGAACGTTTATTGCTCGTTTTCTGTATGTTTTAATCCCAAAATGAAATAACCAATGTGAAGAATGAATATGATGTGTCGTTTCCCCCACACAAAAACGTAATCGACATTAATCGTCACGGATCTTTATCACAGCGGAATTGATTACCGGAAGTGCCCATCGAAGCAGTGTATCGATTCTTCCGGTAATCACCTAGTTGAATAAAAGCCTGTTAAAATGAGCATCTGCAGGATGATTTCAAAATCTGGACATATTTTAGAAGGACCTTAATTCATCCCACCGCATCTCATCCGTGTTGTGTCAGGAAATCGTGAAAACTGAGGCAGTGTGTCATTGTTTAGAATAAAAGCAGCCAGGTACGCTGCAGTAACACCGGCGAAAGAAAGGAAAGAGAGGATTCTCCCATTAGTTTTGACTGCATTGCGATGGGACCGGAAGTGGCGATACACTGCTTCACTTACCTGATATAGGAAGTGCGGTAAAGGTCCATTGTCACTTCAAATTTAAGGACATAAAAAGACTTAAATGCCTTAAAAGGTACAAGAAAATACTTAATTATAATTTCAAGATGTCTTAAAATTTGAGTATGGAAAGACAAGAATCATGATATGGCTTAATGTGATGATTAAATTTCATATAAGGATTTCACTGAATAAACAAACAAAACAGTGTCAAAACGCGGCGTGGGTGTTTTGATATGAAAATATCTCTGAAGGAAACCGCCTGCCCTCAAAAAAGTTTTGATGGCATTTTCGTTTCATCTTGCCTGCGTATAATGTAGCATTAAAGGTGCAATAGGTGATTGTCTTCAGAAACATTTTTTGTTATGCTGGTTGAAAGTCTCTTCACATCCCGATAGCAACCATTAAGTTAAGTGGTCTAAATGTATTTGTCTGTATTTATATATTCTGTGGAAGGTGTAGGATCAAGAAATGTTCGTCTAATCAAAACGTTCGGTCCGAGCGTTTTAATATGCTTTCGTACCTGCCTGTCAACGTATGTATTAGCATACCTCTGCGCACCCGGTTCGCGCAGACAGGATACGTCATCAGCGCGTTCACGCACGCTGTGCAGACAGAGCGAGAATGCCAGAGAATCAACAACCCGATTTTCCTTCCTGGTATTGTAGTACTTTTAAAGATTTCTCACTGGTGAATGACACATGATGTAGCCCAGCGGTTAATCCAGTCCTCGCGCCAGCTCGTTAGATGTGAGCTACGTGCATGAACTGTGTTCCGATCGATATGATCCCTACACAGAGTTCATTGCTCCCTACTCCCTGAGCAGGGGAAATCCGTTGAAGTTTACTTCACTTCCGAACATGGGCTGGAATTGGGAACCTGATGTAGCCTATTGTAGTAATGTTGTCTCTGGTCTGTGAGTGTAAATGCGTTCAGGGGGCGTGGCTTTGGACGGCGATTGCAGGAAGGGTGGGACGTTCGCTTTCAGTGCTATCAGGCTAAAGTTAGCATTTTCCAAGATCTCCTATTGTACCTTTAATGAGCGCAGTGCTGCTTTATGTACAGTCGTTACCAGGGAAACAGTCGTTGTACTGTTCCAAATGCGCCACCTGCTGGCAATTTGCTATTCTTGTTCAGAACAATGCGAACTTGTTAATGTGCCTTCAAAAATGCGAACGATTAACAAAGGTGTGTGTGTGTGTTTTAAATTAAGATAATAACTTATAGCTACTTTTGACATCCCTTTTCTTAAAAATAGTTTAAAGGCTGAAATGTGAGGTTTATTACTATATTAAACTTTATTTATTTGTGAAAAACCTGTTTTTGAACTGCAAATCGTGTTTTTTTTTTTTTTTTTTTTAGTCATTTTTTTGTACCAGTCATAAATATGTTACCATAGACATTGCCCTATCCCGCTCATACAGTATTCATTTTATTTGTGCAGGGCTTAAAAATACTGCAGACACCCTGTAAATTCTTTAATTTTGTACATTTCATTATTTATATACTGTATGTTGGCTGTCTATTTTAGGCAATGTTATATGCAATCCAGACCGGTAATTTTTGATAGCACAATAACATCTTAAAGTGGAGAACTCAAGTACGTATGTAAACATGTAATTTACCACAGTTTAAAGTGCTGGAAAATTTAGAAAATGCACCTTGAAAGTGCTTGAAAAGTGTTTGAATTTTACTTTGGAAAAGGTGTAAGAACCCTGTTACCTGGAGTTGTAATGTATAGACATTTTGATATAAGATTATCTAAGATTATTGCCTTGTTTACAAGTGAAAGTTGCATGTTATATTACGTATGGTGTTTTTTTTTTTTCTTTCCCGTTTATTATGGGTGCTTTGGTTACACACACGGTTTTATTGTAGTATATAATAATATAATTATACTACCATATAGTATGATTATAATGTGTGTGTGTATGATCATACATCAGTTTGGGGATCAAATCTCACTATTAACTGCAACTTTAGCCTCAAAATCCTGATTACTGCTTATTAGTAGTTAGTAGTGTTGTCACGGTACCAAAATTTCAGTATTCGGTACCAATACCAGTGAAAATCCACGGTTCTCTGTACCAATTTCGGTTCCAAAGCAAAACACAAAAACATGCTAATTGAACAACATTTTTATTAATAACGTTAAACAAAAATTAAATGTACAAAACCAATGCCATTCTTTATACTTATTTAAAAGTGTTTCAAGTTTTCCCACAAGTAATAAAAGTATGAAAAAAATAAACAAGTTTCACTCAAAAGTTTAGTCATAGTTCTTAAATAGTTAACAAAGAAATAATTTTGAACAAAATGAACAAAATTCATTCTAATGCTCATTATATTAGCTTATGCTAACGATTAACTACGTATACGCTAACGGCGATGTTTATTTCAATCCGAAATTCAAATTAAAATATAGAATAATATTCATAACAGAAATTTAAAAATGTTACTTACCTTTTTTTTAAAAAAAGGTAAGTTATTAAAAAAACGTATTAAAAAACTTACCTGCTTGAACTTGATCGGGGTGTTTTGTTAGTTTGATGCGTTTCCTCCTCTTGAGGTCGCCACTGCTTTTAAGAAGAGGTTGCCAGGTTTTCACAACAAAACCCGCCCAATCGCGTTTCGAGGGGGTCCCCTGTTAAAAATCGCGTTCCGAGGATAAAGTACGCATGTTTTGACGGGGTTCCCCTGGTAAAATTAGCATTCCAGGGGCTAAATATCACGTTAATGGGGTCGTTTTTCAACCCGCGGACATGAAAAACAAACCGCGGCAACAGTGTTAAAGCAGCCCAATTCCGCGGGAAAACCTCGGACTTGGCAACACTGGAAAGAGGATAGCTTTCGGATAGCGCATCAAGGTACTCGGTACCACCGGTACTTAAAAAAACCTGGTACCGTAACGTTTACATTTTTTTAGTACCGACTTGGTACCGAAATGCCAGGTCTTTTGACAACATTAGTAGTTAGTAATGTAGTTGATAAGTTTAGGTATGGGGTAGGATTAAGAGATCTAAAATATGGTCATGCGAAATAAGCCATTAATATGTGCCAGTATGCTAGTACTACGCATGCTAATAAGCAACTAGTTCATATTGAGAGTATACAGTGCCCTCCATAAGTATTGGGACAGTAAGGGTACGCATGTTTTGACGGGGTTCCCCTGGTAAAATTAGCATTCCAGGGGCTAAATATCACGTTAATGGGGTCGTTTTTCAACCCGCGGACATGAAAAACAAACCGCGGCAACAGTGTTAAAGCAGCCCAATTCCGCGGGAAAACCTCGGACTTGGCAACACTGGAAAGAGGATAGCTTTCGGATAGCGCATCAAGGTACTCGGTACCACCGGTACTTAAAAAAACCTGGTACCGTAACGTTTACATTTTTTTAGTACCGACTTGGTACCGAAATGCCAGGTCTTTTGACAACATTAGTAGTTAGTAATGTAGTTGATAAGTTTAGGTATGGGGTAGGATTAAGAGATCTAAAATATGGTCATGCGAAATAAGCCATTAATATGTGCCAGTATGCTAGTACTACGCATGCTAATAAGCAACTAGTTCATATTGAGAGTATACAGTGCCCTCCATAAGTATTGGGACAGTAAGGACAAAATTGCTCTGTTTGCTGTGGAGTCAAGAAATCTAAATATGATTAAAAGATGAATATGAGACAACTACAGAATTTTATTATTGGGTGATTCAACACATAGAAACTTTAGAGTTTCATCCCCCTATCTGATGTGAGTATATGTATTGGGACAGTTGGCTCACAGGTCTTTCTGAGTGATCAGCTGTGTCCTGTTGCATTAATTGTTCAGATGTTAAAAGCAGGAAAAGTGTCATATCAGTTATATCCATTGCTTCTGCATTCTGAGTCTAGCATTTGATGACAACACGCACAAACCAGGATGAAGATGAGGGAGCTGACGTTGAGAGAAAAAAAGAACCTGTGAAAAAGTACCCTAAAATAACTGTATGCAAAATCACCAACAACCTCCAGAAAGCTGGGGTGATGGTTTTACAATCTAATGTCCGCAGGAGACTGACACAGAATTACAGAGGCTACACAGCAAGATGCAAACCTCTGATCAGCATCAAAAATAGAAAGGCAAGATTAGAGTTTGAAAAAAGCACAAAGGTGAGCCAGTAGAGTTTGGAACGGAGTTTTATGGGCAGATGAGATAAAGATTAACCTTTATCTGTGTGATGGGAAAGCAAAAGTGTGGAGAGAAAAAAAAAAAAGGAAATGCAAATGATCCTAAGCATACAACCTCACCTGTAAAGCATGGTGGAGGTGGTGTCATGGCATGGGCATTCATGGCCCGCTCAACTTTATTGAAGACTTGATGAACGATGGTGACAGCAGAATCAATGCAGAAGTGTACAAAATTATCTTGGCTACCAGTGTTTAAGAAAATGCCACTTGGCTCATCAGAAAGTGCTTCATATTTCAACAGGACAATGACCCAAAACACCCTGCCAGTTCAGTCAAGGAGTTTATTAGGGCAAAGAAATGAAAGGTCTTAGATGGCCCAAGTCAATCTCCAGATTGAAATCTTATTGAACATCCAGCTGAAGAGGAGACTAATAGCAGAAACTCCCCAAAACAACACATTTGGCTTGGCTGTATTAAAGGCTGGGAAAAGCTTTTCAAAGGATGAGACCAAGAGTCTGGTGATGTCTGTGGGTTGCAGACTCACTGCTGTGTTTGCAATCAAGGGATTTGTAACTAAATATTAGCTTTTAAACGTCTACATTTGCTTTGTTCAATTGTCCCAATACATATGCTCACATCAAATAGGGGGATCAAACACTTCAAGTGCTGTGCTTTTTATTTGGTAAAACATGTATGTGTTGAAATGGCTAATAATAAAATGAGACGTTCTGTAGTTTTGACTCGTATTCATCAAATGTCTTGACTCCACAGCAAACTAAGCAATTTTGGCATCACTGTCCCAATACTTATGGAGGGCACTGTGTATATATACACACAGAGTTCAAAATAGGCCTATAAATAATTACAAAATTATTGCAGAAGTATTTAAAAACCTAGTTTACTTTTTGTGTTTTAATAAATGTGAGAATTTTGCTTATAAATGTGTCCTTGTATACACTTCTAAGGAATTATTTGACACATTATTTGATCAATTTTAACCACGACCCTAAAATCTTTTTTTAATACGTTCTTGAATTGTTCAACTTGGGAGCACATAGGCCTATTTTTTTTTAAGAAAAAAGTTCTAATGCATCTCTGTTAGAACTGCGCAAGACAAGTAAACAAACTGAGTCGCAAGACTTCATGAATCTTCAGTGTGTGTTGTGTTATCAGTGCTACATTTTGAAGATCAGTTTATACGGATGAAATGACCATGGGCATCATGCTCAAAAGCTTAGATTTGCAGTGAGGTGAACGCTTTCTTTGAGAGAGTTCTTTTTTTTCTTTTTATCCACGTGCTGTAACTGAGTGATGTATGTAGTCATGTGAAATCTTTTGCTGGTTATTTAAATACATTGTTCTCAAAATACCCAGCTCTATTTCTGGATGCAAGTGGCCATCACAATTTGTCTGATTAGTGTCTGTTTCCTCCTGTAGTTCCGTTGCATCATCAGCACAGCTGCCGGAGTCGCAGCCACCACTGGCTTTACAGAAATCTGTCTCCAATCTTCAGAAGCCCATGCCAATAACCAGCCAGGAGGTACAGATGGCACGTTCATCATCTCTTCATGGTGCTCACCTGATGTTAATGTCATGGTGTCTGATGTCTGCTGAATGTGTTTCTGTCCCTCTAGAGCACAAGTACAGGTGGACCAAAGCAATGGGCACAGCTCAATGGAAAGGCAGTAGATCAAGATGGTAATCATCCGTTTATTGTGATCAGAAGTGTTTGTTGTTATGTCATGTTTTATACTTGTTTGGCTCTGTTGTCCAGGTTTAAAGGTCTCAAGCCGACTGCAGCCCTTCTCTCACGAGGAATTTCCGACGCTGAAAGCAGCAGGCGAACAGGACAAGGCTGGCAAGGAAAGAAGCGTGTTCGATCCGTCGTATGGGCCCGGACCAAGCCTCCGCCCACAGAGTGAGTCCCGCTCTGCATGATAAAACATTTAGATCGTTTCATTTCAGATATGTAACTGTGTAACGGTAGAAAAGAACAGATCGTGTTCAAAACTACATTCCTGCCTTAAAGGAACACTCCACTATTTTTGAAAATAGGCTTATTTTCCAACTCCCCTAGAGTTAAACAGTTGAGTTCTACCGTGTTCTAATCCATTCAGCCGATCTCCGGGTCTGGCGGTAGCACTTTTAGCTGTAGCTTAGCATAGATCATTGAATCTGATTAGACCGTTAGCATCTCGCTCAAAAATGACCAAAGAGTTTCTATATTTTTCCTATTTAAAACTTGACTCTTCTGTAGTTAATTCGTGTACTAAGACCAACGGAAAATGAAAAGTTGCGATTTTCTAGGCCAATATGGCTAGGAACTATAATCTCATTCCGGCGTAATAATCAAGGAACTTTGCTGCAGTTAATCCAGAGAATAACAATTTTTTCTGAGACCGAGAGAAACCGAAAGATGAGTCATCATTTAAAAGCAAAAGCTTAGGGCAGCATGATATATCAACTTCCAGTATGTCCTTCAGAGTCTTAGATGCCTGTTTCCAGAAATGATTAACTTCAGGGCAATCCCAAAACATATGTCTATAGGTTCCTATAGAGTTTCCTGAGCAGAAATTACAATTGGAAGATGAAGAAAGCTTCATTAAATATCGTTTCCTAGGAGTGAGATACATCCTATGAACCATTTTGTAGTGAATTAATTGATGATTAGGATTTTTTTAAACAAGTTTAAGATTGGCCCATATTGAATCCCAACAGTTATCATCAATGCTGTCGTAATATCTTTCAGTGTTTTGTTTATTTACACCACATATTCATGTGTAAATCAGTGTTTCGATAATTTTGCATGTTTGTCGTTTTATTTAATTTTTTTATTTAAAAGTACATCAAATTGAAGTAAATGAAAATGAGATGTTGCCTTGGCATGTAGTTAAAATAAGTGTAATTTTTGTTATTTAAGTTAATGTTTATTACAGGTAACATGTTCATGGTTTTAGTTGGCTTGTAAAACCACTGGCATGAATGAGCCGTTTGTTGATGTCTCAATGTGATGTGCTGATGTTGTGTGTCATTGTCAGATGTGTCGAGCTGGAGGGATGGCGGTGGGAGGAACCTGCAGCCCCCGGTGCTGTCTGCCGCCCCGCCCTGCACAGACACGGACACCAAGAGCAGCGGCTCAGCTGAGACCACCACTCCTCTTCCTCCCCCCTCCTCATCCTCATCCTCCTCCTCCGCTGCTGCTGCCCAGTCCTCTGATGTGAAGGAGCCATCGCTGCGGCCCGCTCAGCCCATGCAGCGCAGAGCCGCCCCATCAGCCCTCCAGTACCAGCACCACCCCACCACCACATACCACGACATGCTGCCTGCCTTCGTGAGTCTCTGCCCATCATATCCGTTATCCAGTGTGCTGTGCTTTCTCTGATAAAATGCTTATTGGCTCTTTGTTTGTCAGATGTGCCCTAAAGAGACTCGTGACGCTCCGGGCTCCTCGGATCATGGCCCGACCACTGTGGTTGCCCCCGTGCGCTTTGAATCTAGGATGATCTTCAGACCAGCGTTCCCTGCACCGGAGCCCATCAAGTGAGTGTTGTGCTAATTACTGCAGTGAGGAACGCTCTCTGTCCTCTTCTATAAATGGCTGTTTTTCATTTCACAGTGGTGATTTAAGAAGAGAGGCCCGTTTCCCCCGTATCCCTCCTCGCCCCTCCACTCGCCCGATCCGCCGCCCAGGAGATCGAGCTTCCCGTCCTGCCATAATCAACCCTGAGGACCTGAAGGACCTCGATGAACTGGACAATGACTGTGAAGACGGCTGGGCAGGTGAGCGCCCGCTTTCTTTATGAACAGCAGATGGGCATTTTCGCCAATGCTTATTGTGACCACTGTCTGTTCTTCAGGTCTCCATGAGGAAGTGGATTATAGCGAGAAGCTTAAATTCAGTGACGATGAGGAAGATCACTCCCCCTGTGAGAAGAATAAGATCTGGTGAGCTTTTCTTTGTTTTAATGCAGTGCGTGTGGTGTGAACGCCGCTTGTGTTGGAGTTGAAGCTCATTCTGGTGCTTGTGTCTTGCAGGAATGACTGGGACAACCATAAGGACCAGCATTCATCTCAGAGCTCTGGTGACGGTGCGTTTCCACAAGACGCTGAGGAGTCATACTCATGCCAGCCAGGGGCAGTACTCTCCAGGAAGACCAATGGACGATTCTCCTCTTCTGAATCTCAGGTAACAATCTACGACTTTCTGCATTTGTTTTTCCCCTGAAATCTTTTATTTATTTATTTTTAATTGGTATTTTAACAATGTCTGCAGCAATTAAGACCAGCAGTAGGATTGCATACAAACCAGAGATTAGGGGGAAAAAGTAGAAACACAGAAAATAAAATAAAAAGAAAATGAAGGAGTAATGCATTCAGCACAGTTAAATGTCTAAAATACATATAAATAAGTGGGGGGTGTAAATTTATTCAGTGGTTATCAGTCATGCTGGGAGCACCCGACCAGTGTTATTTTAGTATCTTTGAGTTTTTATTAATATTTTGAATCAGTTTTTATTTTTATATTTTGTTTTCAAATTAATTTGAATGGTTTAGTAATTTTGTAAATCTTTTAGTTATTTATTTTTAATTGGTATTTTAACAATGTCTGCAGCAATTAAGACCAGCAGTAGGATTGCATACAAACCAGAGATTAGGGGGAAAAAGTAGAAACACAGAAAAGAAAATAAAAAGAAAATGAAGGAGTAATGCATTCAGCACAGTTAAATGTCTAAAATACATATAAATAAGTGGGGGGGTGTAAATTTATTCAGTGGTTATCAGTCATGCTGGGAGCACCCGACCAGTGTTATTTTAGTATCTTTGAGTTTTTATTAATATTTTGAATCAGTTTTTATTTTTATATTTTGTTTTCAAATTAATTTGAATGGTTTAGTAATTTTGTTTATCATTTTTAGTATTTTATTTGTCTAAATAGTTTTTATAATTTTTATTTCTGCATTAGTTCCTTTTGTACATCAGGTTAAACTAAATGAAAAATGAAAACGAGCTGCAAAAACTTTTGATATTTTATTTAATTTAACGTTTTTATTTCCATATAATTTCAACACTTTTTTCCCCCCCTGGTTTTAAGTTTTAGTTTTTAACTGTAATTTAAGTTTGTGATAAACTAAACTATGTGTTCTGTCTGTCCTTCCGAGTGGAAACAATTGTTTTTGTTGCTGTAATTACATTTTTATATTTATGACTTCTTTTGATTGGATAACCACATGCCAAGTAAGTGATGATTGTAAAGCAAAATTGAGCATGCTCGTTTTTTTTTTTTTTCTTCACTAAATGTTTAAATGACATCTTTTAATTGATAGCACCTTTAAGTTGGTCCCATCAGTCCAGGCTCATCTAAGGGATCTCCTCTCTCTGTTGTTTGTGATTTGCAGCACCAGCAGAAGAACAGTGGCAACAGTGAGTCTGCAGAGGAGCAGGAGGAGCCGCAGCGGCAGGCGCCGCCTCGTGGGAAGTTTGTCTCGGCCGACCTCTCTGCTGTGGAGAGAGCGCGCAGACGGCGCGAAGAGGAGGAGAGGAGAGCGCGGGAGGAGAGACTGGCTGCCTGTGCAGAGAAACTCAAAAAACTGGATGAAAAATTTGGCAAAACTGAGAAACCTGCACGCTCTGGAGAAACGCTGAGAGAAGCAGACAGCAAGGAGCTGACGCAGTCTCCAGGCCGAAGGTCATCCAAACACCACCAGGAGGGCTGGCAGTATGGCACTAAAGGTATACGAGTTCATATATACTAGTTGGTTTATAAATTTAAGCTTTAGCTACACTTGTAATAATGGCAGTTATTAAAGGAAATAATTTAGAGAAATCTCAAAGGCGTTTTGCCTCTGCTCTTTTCCGCTACTTTTCTTAAGACCTCATTTCATTGTATATAGAAGTGTCTGATACACCAACTGAGTCATCCAGTCAGGATTACAAAGATGAAGGTTGTAACTACCACAATGATGACGATGGTCCTGAGTCCACCTCTCCCCTCCCAGACTACGGCCGACACCAGAAGCCTGTGCCGCCCCGCTTCCAGAAGCAGCACCAGCAGCAGGTGAGCTTTAACACCTAATACTTTAAGTAAGAGGAAATGGTTATTAATTCAGCCAGCCTGAAAATCTTGAGGTGCATATGTCTTTGCAGAAGTTATAATACTGAGAAATTATGGTTTTCATGCTAACTATATGCTTTTATGCTGTTATATATACTGTATGCTTTCATTTTATAGAGGAGATTTTTTTTTCTGTGGTTTCTAGGAGCAGGTGTATAAGATGGCGCCGTGGCAGCAGTCGAGTCACCCCACCCAGTCCAGCTCTGCTCACCCACAGAGAGGCTTTTACCCTCCTCATGTCCTGGGCTTTGACCCACGCTGGATGATGATGCCTCCCTACATGGATCCCTGCATGGCGCAGGGATGTTCTCCAGTGGATTTCTACCCTCCTGGAGTTCACTCATCTGGTAAATTATAACATCCTCCATATTTAGTGGTGTTTGCCAAGTCAAGCATCAATATTATTCATAGTGATACGATCAAACCTTTAATAATAAATATGAAACTTCAAAATATGAGTGAACTCTCTTAACTTGATCCAGTAAGCCAGACATTCCCAAACTGTTATGTCAGTTTAAACCCTTTGACAGAAATTATTCATCTGAAGCTCCCAAGATTTTCAGTGAATGTGTTAATATCTTAACACCACATCTGCATGCTCATGGTTCCCTGATGCTGGTTAATGATCACACTTGATTTGCTTTACTTTCATATCATTAGATGTATTTTTTAAGTGTTTTTTTTTCATTGATCTATTAATTTATAGTATAAGGTTGCTCAATTTGGTTAAAAAAAACAATACTGTGATTTTGTAGTCTTTTATGTCACAGTTATCGTGATTTGAGCTGCGATTTAAAAGCATTTAATCTCATAAGAAAATGTCTTGTATTGCTGTTGCTGAAACATCCAGGCAGTTATTTCAATATTCTTTTTGTTTTTATTATTTTAAACTCTAATTATTAAAAAATGAAGACTGATATATTACCACTTTAAAAGGTTTATAAACGCTTCTTTTTCTATATTATAAAATTCTGAAAACTTGTCTACAGAAATGTTGTGAATTATGTGAGAGTGCAAAATGCCTTTCCCAAATGCACAAAGTAGATTTTGTGGTACAGCTACCAGCTACAGTAACTTGGTATCATGCAGAGTTCTGCATGGTGATATATGGCAACATTTTTTCAGAACATTTATATTGTGATATTTAACTTTTTTATTTTCAAGGTTTGGTGAAACCTGTCATTCAACAGGATCACCTGAATAGCCCTGGTTCCACCTCTGATGAAGGCTGCCATCAGGAGAGGAGGGCGCCATCCACTGAGCCTTACCAAGTGTGGAACCAAGACAGCTACTCGTCTGCACGCAGTTTCACCCCACCCTACCAGAGACAGCACGAGAATTGCGACAGGGCTCAGGTAGATGACAGGAGTGACCAGTCATGCTCCCGACATGTCTCATATGAAGACCGAGGTCATGACCGCACAGACAGTCCAGCAGAGGAACTGACCCATCAAGGCTTCCGGCAAGGCAGAGGCTCCGACGTGTCGCTCTGTTCGCAGCGAGAAGTTTCCCATGAAGTAGCCCATCAACCATTAATACTCAGCAGAACCCATCCTGGAGACAGTGAGCACAGGGACGTCTCCTCTGGTAGACATCAGAAAGAAGACCTTGATACGCATGACGAGGCCTTCAACAGCAAGGAGAAGAGCTACGACTCTGATTTTTGGAGGAAAGACATGGGTAGTCTGAGGAAAGACGGCAGCAGTCAGGCCCCGTGGTCCGATCACGGTTCGAGCAGCAGCAGTAGTGTAAGCCAGCCATCTGAGTCCAGTGGTAGAACCCTTAGAAGGACGGGACCCATCAAGAAACCTGTGCTGAAGCCCTTGAAGGTTGAAGACAAAGAGAACGAGAAACCCAAAACTGACCCGGAGGAGAAGACTGTCCCATACAGACTGGAGAAGGAAGTGGTTACCAACGTCTATGACCTGAAGAAAGATGCTCCACTTCTGTCTAACAGGCACTCCGCCCCACCACCCGCTCCCTCTCCTGAGGAGAAACAAGTGGAAGCTCCGAAGGTGGAGGAAACGAGCAATTTGCCTGAAGGGTTGCACAAAGAGAACTACTGGAATAGCAGCAAGAGTCAGTCTGTGGACTGTTCTGACAGCAGGGATCCACCAGCCCCTCGCCGCAACAACTGGATATTCATTGATGAAGAGCAGGCGTTTGCAGGGGCCAGGGGAGCGGGTCGTGGACGTGGCCGGGGCTTCAGAGAGTTCAACTCTCGTGGTGCTCGTGGAGGACGAAGCGACGGCAACAGAGGAGCCTACAGTATCGCAGGCACACAGAGGCCTGCGCGAGGACGTGGTGCTCGAGAGTTCAGGAGCGAAGATCTGCAGCGAGGCAAACCCCGTAGACGCAACGTGAGTGAGACTCACAGCGAGGCCTCAGAATACGAGGAGCAGCCCAAGCGCCCACGCCAGAAGGCCACTGAGAACGGAGAGACTTCGTATCTTGTGTCTGGAGAGGTCAAGAGGGCTGACAAGGAGTCGTGGAGATCAAACAAGGTCTACACTGATGATCAGAGCGGCAACAGCGATTCCAGGGACAAGACTAAATCAGCTCGAGTGTTTGGAAGGTCATTGCCCCCTCGCCTTAATGCTGGATACAACCGTGGATTTGGCTCAAGGGACATTTCGACATGGAGAGGGAGAGGAGCCCAGTTTGGAAGTACATCCGCGCAGGAGAACGGCTACAACTTCGGTGCAGACTCCTATTCTAAACGCTCGTCGGAACGGGATCCCCTGAAGTACCCTCCAAAATTTACGGGCTCCTTTGTAGAGAATGGCGTCGAGGACAGAGATGGAGGTTACTATGTTGATAATGATAATCCTGACAACCGGCCCCTTAGAAGGCGGCGTCCCCCACGCCAGGATAAGCCCCCACGCTTCAGGCGTCTACAGCAAGGGCGTGAAGGAGGAGGTCAGTGGAATAATGAAGACTATGTTAACGGAGATGTTGCCAATCAGTGGCCGGGTCGTTCTAAGGGCGCAGAGGAGCACTGGCCCAACTACTACTCTGGAGGACGGTCACAGGAGATCAGGGGTCAGAGTCAGGGTGAGGACTGGGAAACCGGCTCTGAAAACAGCGATTTCAGTGACTGGAGGGAGAAACGGGGGCAGCATGGCGACATGCTCATGGATGCGGGCCACGGAGAACCTGGCTCTGAGAAGAGAGAGCTCTCCAAGCGGAGCTTTTCTAGTCAGCGGCCAGTCGTCGACAGACAGAACCGGAAGAGTGACACGTCTGTAATGGAAAACAAGATGAGCCGCTCAACGGACACGCAGTCTAGTGCAGGTTCCTCTGGTAGAAACGCGAGTTGGCAGAACGGCGTTGCTTCCAACAGCAAACGGTATGTTTTTTCAGAACATAAGTTAAACATATTGATATGAAAAAACAGTACCATTTATGAAATTCATACTATGAATGTTGCTTAATTCGCTCTGTGCAGAGTTCCAGAAGATTCAGTCACCGGCCTGAGCTCGGCATCTGTGTACAACGTGGAGCAAAACGACGACACGGGTGCGGTGGAAGCAACGGGAAAGATCTTAGAGAAAGACTTGATGCCCAGAAGCATGAAGGGGGACATGACAGAACCACTGTCCCAATATGACCTGAACACTTACCCAAGTAAGTCAAAAGTGGTTGTTTACGATAGAAGTGCCTCTCCAATGCAGAATAAAGGATGATAAACTAACGAGTCGTTTTTAAACTTATGCACTCCTGTGGCGGTGATGTCGCCACAGTGCAAATGAGGAATAATTCAGCAACCTTGATTAAACACATCTGAACAAGTTGATCAAGGTCCTCAGGATTACTAGAAACTTCCAGGCAAGTGTGTCGGAGAAGGTTGAAGCTGAGCTCTTTAGGACATTGGCCTTCCAGGAGCACATATTTAGAAGCAGTTCAAGTCTCTGTTACTAGTTTGAAAGTTTATTTTTTAAGATCATGACAAAAGGATATTGTAATGTGGTGAATGGACTTGCGCTACTTCATAGCCATATGGTAAATTAAGGGTCTAAACTGTAAAGATTACTCAATTTAATGGTTCTACGCTAAAAATGAGAAAAAATGGTAGACATAATTTGTTTTCAAGTGTGACTTGTGTGGTGTTCTTCAGTACTGGATCTAAAGGAGCTGTCGCTTGTGTTTCCTCGCAGTTGAGAGTGACTCAGGAGCTTCTGTACCCAGTCCAGAGGTTTTCCAGGAAGCTCTGTCCAAAAAACAGCGCCGCCCACAGGATGATGATCGCAGGAGGAAGGATCAGGGTCCTCCAGTAAGTAATCATGGCCTCTATTTCCTGATGTTTAGACACATCTGATAACCAGAAAGATGATCACTTCAGTTGTTTAACTGCATGAAGTATCTCCTGAGTGGATATTGTAGTTATTTGGTTTGTGCACCTGAAGGGTTCGGTAAAGAATAGAACAATTGCATCGAAAATGCCTCCCCGTTTTGCCAAGAAGCAAGGCAGCATGTCCATCGAGCAGCCCGAGGAGACGCTCTCCACCAACAACTTGGGAACAGAGATCTGGGAGACAAACAGCACAGGTAATACTGATAACAACCGATATCAAGTGCATTCATTTTTAAGAGACTGATTCTAAATTACTTTGTTTTCCTCCTGAAGCTCTGACTGTCCAATCTTTAGGTGGCGATTCATGGACAAAGCAGGTTTCTTACACGGGAAGCGAACCCAATTCAGAGGTACAGGTCGTTCTTTTCTAAGAAGTATTTTTGCGTGCCTCAGTCAGTGAGCTGAGCCTGAGACTAAAGTTCAACTGTCCTGTCCTTCAGGATTCAGATGCAGGGCCCGAGCAGAGCAAAGAACACAAACCGGGCCCCATTGGCAATGAGCGCTCGCTGAAGAACCGCAAGGGCTCTGAGGGCATGGAGCGTCTGGAGGGACCCATCACTCCCGTCAATGGAGTGGATATTCACGTGGACAATGTCATTCCTGTGCCGCCCATCGAGTTTGGTGTCAGTGCAAAGGATTCTGACTTTAGCCTTCCTCCAGGGTCCACGCCAGTGCCTGTGGCCAACCCCGTCACCAAGCTGCAGGACGTGCTTGCTGGGAATGTGCGTACAGTAGCTCTGCATGCAGCATTTACATTGTCAGCTTTGTGTAAAGAAGCATTGAGCATTGTAATGAAATTAACTCATTTGTAAGGGAATTAATTATTATTAATTCATTCAGCTTTAATCAGGTTGACTCAGAATTTTAACCCGTGGCCAGGGAGAATACAGATATTCAAATTGTTAGAATATACTAAGAATCACCGGCTCGCTGGACGACCCTTGATTTAAAGTGTAAACTATCAGATTTGAATTCAGCTTTAATCAGGTTGACTCAGAATTTTCAGATTCGAGTCCTTTTAAAACCTGAATGAATTAATAATAATTAATTCCCTTACAAATGAGTAATTTCATTACAGCATTTATACTGTTATTAATGTGTGTGCACAGGCGGTCCTGTCTCAAGCCATCCCGATGCTCCGCAGAGACCACCTGCAGCCTGGAATAAACCTCAACCCCATCAGCTTCCCTACTGCGGACCTCACTCTCAAGGTAACGCTTACCGCCGCATCATTGCTTGGGTTGATGGCTCTCCATCACTGACCTTAAAGGGTTCTTCCAGATATTTCACTTTGTTTCTTGGGATTTGCGAGACACATTTATTTATTTTGAGCACACATTCTGTCTGCCCGTTGCATGCCTAGTCTACCATAGGACATGCTACCAGCATGTTCAAACATTCTAATGACACCTCATAACATTAAAACATGTTTTAATGCATAGCACAAATGTTCGTAACATGCTAGTTTAATGTCAAAATATGTCAACAATAACTTGTAAATGTTAAACATGCTAACAGCATGTTAAATTGTTAGCAACAAGTTAAAACGTGTTAAAGGGGTCATATGATGCGATTTCAAGTTTTCCTTTCTCTTTGGAGTGTTAGCTAGCATGTTGCTGTAATTTTTCATTCTAGATTCATGTTAGTGTTAACATTATGGTAAAATGTTATCATTCTGCTAAAACATGCTAGCAATGTGGCAAAACGTGCAGCATATTCAGTTGTTAGTAACATGGTAAAACATGCTAACAATGTTTTAAACCAAATGGATATGTTAAAACATGCTAGAAACCATGTTTTAACAATTTGTTAGACACTAAGCATTTTAACATGTTAGCAATATGGTAAAACATATGACCAGTTTGTTAAAACATGCTAGCAAAATGGCAAAACACGGCAGCTTCATGTTAAAATACTATAAATTGTTAGCAACGTGCTAAAACATGATTTTTAAAACATTTTTACTTCCTTAAAATGTTAGTAATATGGTGAAACATTCTAGCAATTTGTAAAAAAAAAAAAAAAAAAAACGTTAGCAGA